ATTGGAGCAATTTTGCCAGGAAGAGTGGGCAACAATTACTCCATCACATTGTGTAAAGCTGGTAGAGACATATCTAAAAAGACTCACAGCAGTAATTGCTGTAAAGTTGCTTCCAACAAATACTGACTTAGGGGGCTGAATACTTATGCATTCAGCAAATTTCAATTTACATATCTTCTTTGCAGGTTTCATTGACATTCAACCTGCTTCACACACATAACAGTGTTAAGTTTGATCATTAGAGATTTGAATAAAAACAAGTTCATTATAAATTATTTACATTATATGTATTTCATTAAAATGTGACATTATTGGTGGGGGTGAATACTTATGTAAGACATTGTATAAATTTTTGGTTCTTCTCCTTGAGAAAGATAACTGTTGCTATTTTCAGCCTCCCCTTGCTTTCTGCAGGAGAAGAATGATCTTTTAGTATGTATGCGTTCTAAAAAGGCGCAGCACATTTCATCAAGGAGGGCTGGCATACAGCACACAATTTCAATACTTTTGTCAAAGCTAATCAGTTTAGGGCTGGGGCGTGTGAATAATCATGTTTTGCTTAAACTAGCCGATATCAAAAGTAATCTGAATCTTCTAAAGAGTCACAGTGTTGTTGATGAAATCTTCAAAGTTACAGAAGAAGAAGATGAGAAGGAGCCTAAGAGGACTCAGTGAATACTAAGATCGAGAAGACCAGTGTCATGATTCTAAAACATTTTATTTCTTAATGTCAATGTCGATTAAAAACTTGAACAGTATTCAACAAGTTTTTAACCAGTTTATGTTTAATGAAAGTTTAATATTTTCAGATAATATGCTTATATCCAAAGTGAAGTAAAGCAAGTGCAATATGACTAGATTTTAAATTGATTTCCGACATATTACTGTACTATTTCAGTATCTTACTATTTTAAAGTAACAAGAACTTTATAACTCCAATTTGGTAATAAGAGTTTAATTATCCATATTTAGTTATAAATGCTTCACTACAAATAATATTTGTTTTGAAATGGATTTTTTTAAATACAAAACTAAATATATAATCTGATGCCCTGGTTAAAATTACTGAAAACATTATCGTTTTGTTTTAAATGCTCATAATTTCAAATCGCTAGTGTTAGAGGGAGGTTTAGAACAGCATGCAACAAGCTTTGTGTATGAACGACCATTTCATCCAGTTCAACATATTTCCTCTGTGACATAATGTCGCACAATGTTGTTGACTAAATAATACTAAGAAGGGAAGCTTACAACATGTTGTGTAGGTCCACAATATTAAATAATCTAGCTTACTACATGTCAAGCTTACATGTTGTGTAGGTCCACAATATTAAATAATCTAGCTTACTACACGTCAAGGTTACATACTATATAGCCACACAAGATTAGCTTTCTAGCTCACTACACGTCAAGGTTATATAGTCACACAAT